GAAAGTACAGGTGATTTAATGAGCGCCGTCTTGAGCTGTTGGAAGGCCTGTTCACACTCTGGGGCCCATACTACTATCTTGGGGAGGATTTTACGCGTTCCTATATGGCACTTACTGGGCCTTAGGGTCAGTCCGGCCTCCCTAATCCGGTCTAGTACTGCTCCTATGTGGGTCAGGTGTTCGGGCCAGGAGCAGCTAAAAATGGCTATATCATCCAAGTAGGCGCAGGCATACTCCTGAAACCCATCCAGTAGCCGATCTACCATCCTCTGAAAGTTAGCGGGGCATTCTTCATCCCGAATGGCATGACCTTAAACTGATACAGGCCAAACGAGGTGACAAATGCTGACTTGTGGATGGCGTCCTCGGCTAATGGAATTTGCCAGTACCCCTTGCACAGATCTATTGTGGTGAGGTACTGGCCTCTGGCCATTTTGTCTAGGAGCTCGTCTATCTGGGGCATAGACGAGGCGTCTGAGGTTGTTTTATCGTTTAGCCTCTGGTAGTCTACACAGAAACGGGTCGTGCCATCCCGTTTCGGTACTAGTACTACCGGGGAGGCCCAGGGGCTGTCAGAGTGTTCTATCACCCCTAACTGCATCATTTCCTCAATTTCTTTCTGAATATTTTCTTTAACTGCTTCGGGTATGCGATAGGCGGTTTGGCGAAGGGGGGTCTGGTCTAGGGTTTCAACTTTGTGAGTGGTTAGCGGACTGTACCCAGGTAGGTTGGAAAACGTGGCCCCCTTGTCCTGGATTAGTCTTTGGACCTGGGTTCGCTCCTGGGGGTCTAACCGTTCTCCTAACTGTACTTCTCCCAGGTCTCCGCTCTGGCCCTCTAGGGCTAGGAGATCTGGGAGTGGCAAATTATCATAATCTTCAGTGGCAAGTGCACAGATCGCGGTTACCTCTTCCGTGCGCTCGTGGTATGGCTTGAGCATGTTCACATGGAGCATGCGCTTGCCTCCCGTGCCTGTGACCGCACCGATCACAAAGGTGGTATCACAAACCTGCTCTACCACCTTGTATGGGCCCTGCCAGGAAGCCTGCAGCTTGTCCTTGTGGACAGTGTCAATCCATATCTGCCAAGTTACCCTATGTAGGGGGAACAGTCTCTATTCTGCACTGTGTCAGTGTGTATTATGGTCTCTGAGGACAGGTGTCAATCCAGATCTGCCAAGTGACCCTATGTAGGGGTAACAGTCCCTATTCTGCTCTGTGTCAGTGTGTATCAGGGACCCTTAGGACAGGTGTCAATCCATATTCTGCTCTGTGTCAGTGTGTATCAGGGACCCTTAGGACAGGTGTCAATCCATATCTGCCAAGTGTAGGGGGAACAGTCCCTATTCTGCTCTGTGTGAGGAGGAGGAATGGGAAATGAGTAGCTCGGCATCCAACCTTTTGCAAATGGGATCTTTCATGCTGTCGTGCCTGTTGAGGGACCCTCGTATAAAAAGGTTGAAGGAAAACGACCTGTGCTGGGTGTCCACGCTACTAGACCCCCGGTATAAGCAGACAGTGGCAGAAATGTTACCGAATTACAAGTCGGTAAGGATGCAGCATTTGCAAAATAAATAAAAAAATATGCTTTACACAGCGTATAAGGGTGATGTCACAGCACAACGGGAATCTAACAGGGGAAGAGGTGAAAGTCATCCTCCTCCTCCCACGACCAAGCCATATCTGCCAAGTGACCCTATGTAGGGGTAACAGTCCCTATTCTGCTCTGTGTCAGTGTGTATCAGGGGCTCTGAGGACAGGTGTCAATCCATATCTGCCATGTGACCCTATGTAGGAGGAATAGTCCCTATTCTGCTCTGTGTCAGTGTGTATCAGGGATCCCTAGGACAGGTGTCAATCCATATCTGCCAAGTGACCCTATGTAGGGGGAACAGTCCCTATTCTGCTCTCTGTCAGTGTGTATCATGGTCTCTGAGGACAGGTGTCAATCCATATCTGCCAAGTGACCCTATGTAGGGGGAACAGTCTCTATTCTGCTCTGTGTCAGTGTGTATCAGGGGCTCTGAGGACAGGTGTCAATCCATATCTGCCAAGTGACCCTATGTAGGGGGAACAGTCTCTATTCTGCTCTCTGTCAGTGTGTATGATGGTCTCTGAGGACAGGTGTCAATCCATATCTGCCAAGTGACCCTATGTAGGGCTAACAGTCTCTATTCTACTCTGTGTCAGTGTGTATCATTGTCTCTGAGGACAGGTGTCAATCAATATCTGCCAAGTGACCCTATGTAGGGGGAACAGTCTCTGTTCTGCTCTGTGTCAGTGTGTATCAGGGGCTTTGAGGACAGGTGTCAATCCATATCTGCCAAGTGACCCTATGTAGGGGGAACAGTCTCTATTCTGCTCTGTGTCAGTGTGTATCAGGGGCTCTGAGGACAGGTCTCAATCCATATCCGCTATATGACCCTATGTAGGAGGAACAGTCTCTATTCTGCTCTGTGTCAGTGTGTATCGTGGTCTCTGAGGACAGGTGTCAATCCATATCTGCCAAGTGACCCTATGTAGGGGAACAGTCTCTATTCTGCTCTGTGTCAGTGTGTATCGTGGTCTCTGAGGACAGGTGTCAATCCATATCTGCCAAGTTTTACCCGCAATGCAAACAAACCGGCTCCTGCCCGTATCTGCCAAGTGACCCTATGTAGGGGGACAGTCCTATTCTGCTCTGTGTCCGTGTGCATCAGGGCTCTGAGGACAGGTGTCAATCCATATGTCAAGGTGTCAATATGTCATATGTCAGGTGTCAATCCATATTCATTGTGATTTAGGAATGTTAGGTGATTTCTGCCCTTTATGGATTAAAACCAGACTCTGCATCAACTGTGTAATTTTCCAGGTGTAAGTCCCCTTGAAACAACTTTTCAATCACTATTGTGGCCAGAAAGAGTTCCTGTGTGTTTTAAAATTTGCCTGCCCATTGAAGTCTATGGCGGTTCGCCCGGTTCGCCGGTTCGCGAACATTTGCGGAAGTTCGCGTTCGCCGTTCGCGAACCGAAAATTTTGTGTTCGCGACATCACTAGTCAGCATGTGTATCTGTGTGTCAGTGTGTGCATCTGTGTGCCACTAGTGTGCCAGTGTGTGTATCTGTGTGTCAGATACATATGCACACACAGATACACACACCAGCACATACAAACACAGATACACACCCCTTACCACACACCAGCACATACAAACACAAATACACACACTTTGACACATAGATAAACACACATTGACACACAGATACACACACACACAAACAGATACACACTGTGTGTCAATGTGTGTGTATCTGTGTGTCAAGGTGTGTGTATACAGGGAGTGCAGAATTATTAGGCAAGTTGTATTTTTGAGGATTAATTTTATTATTGAACAACAACCATGTTCTCAATGAACCCAAAAAACTCATTAATATCAAAGCTGAATATTTTTGGAAGTAGTTTTTAGTTTGTTTTTAGTTTTAGCTATGTTGGGGGATATCTGTGTGTGCAGGTGACTATTACTGTGCATAATTATTAGGCAACTTAACAAAAAACAAATATATACCCATTTCAATTATTTATTATTACCAGTGAAACCAATATAACATCTCAACATTCACAAATATACATTTCTGACATTAAAAAACAAAACAAAAACAAATCAGTGACCAATATAGCCACCTTTCTTTGCAAGGACACTCAAAAGCCTGCCATCCATGGATTCTGTCGGTGTTTTGATCTGTTCACCATCAACATTGCGTGCAGCAGCAACCACAGCCTCCCAGACACTGTTCAGAGAGGTGTACTGTTTTCCCTCCTTGTAAATCTCACATTTGATGATGGACCACAGGTTCTCAATGGGGTTCAGATCAGGTGAACAAGGAGGCCATGTCATTAGATTTTCTTCTTTTATACCCTTTCTTGCCAGCCACGCTGTGGAGTACTTGGACGCGTGTGATGGAGCATTGTCCTGCATGAAAATCATGTTTTTCTTGAAGGATGCAGACTTCTTCCTGTACCACTGCTTGAAGAAGGTGTCTTCCAGGAACTGGCAGTAGGACTGGGAGTTGAGCTTGACTCCATCCTCAACCCGAAAAGGCCCCACAAGCTCATCTTTGATGATACCAGCCCAAACCAGTACTCCACCTCCACCTTGCTGGCGTCTGAGTCGGACTGGAGCTCTCTGCCCTTTACCAATCCAGCCACGGGCCCATCCATCTGGCCCATCAAGACTCACTCTCATTTCATCAGTCCATAAAACCTTAGAAAAATCAGTCTTGAGATATTTCTTGGCCCAGTCTTGACGTTTCAGCTTGTGTGTCTTGTTCAGTGGTGGTCGTCTTTCAGCCTTTCTTACCTTGGCCATGTCTCTGAGTATTGCACACCTTGTGCTTTTGGGCACTCCAGTGATGTTGCAGCTCTGAAATATGGCCAAACTGGTGGCAAGTGGCATCGTGGCAGCTGCACGCTTGACTTTTCTCAGTTCATGGGCAGTTATTTTGCGCCTTGGTTTTTCCACACGCTTCTTGCGACCCTGTTGACTATTTTGAATGAAACGCTTGATTGTTCGATGATCACGCTTCAGAAGCTTTGCAATTTTAAGAGTGCTGCATCCCTCTGCAAGATATCTCACTATTTTTGACTTTTCTGAGCCTGTCAAGTCCTTCTTTTGACCCATTTTGCCAAAGGAAAGGAAGTTGCCTAATAATTATGCACACCTGATATAGGGTGTTGATGTCATTAGACCACACCCTTCTCATTACAGAGATGCACATCACCTAATATGCTTAATTGGTAGTAGGCTTTCGAGCCTATACAGCTTGGAGTAAGACAACATGCATAAAGAGGATGATGTGGTCAAAATACTCATTTGCCTAATAATTCTGCACTCCCTGTATGTGTGTTAGTGTGTGTATCTCTGTGTCAGATACATACGCACACACAGATACACACTGACATATACAAACACAGATACACACACCGGCACATACAGACACAGATACACATACATTGACACACACCCACAAATACACAGATCAAGGTGTGTGTATCTGTGTGCCACTATGTGCCAGTGTGTGTATCTGTGTGTCAGATAAACACACACACACACACACACACAGGTACACACTGACACACAGATACACACACTGGAATGTACAAACACAGATACACACACTTTGGCATACAGACACACGCACTTTGACACACAGATACATACACACACACGGTCACAGAGATAGACACTGTATGTCAAGATGTGTGCATCTGTGTGTCAGTGTGTGTATCTGTGTGCCTCTATGTGCCAATGTGTGTATATGTGTGTCAGCTACATACATACACACACACACAGATACACATTGACACAGATATACACATACCTTGACATACAGACATGGTTTATGCAACGGCGCAACATTTTTTACATTTTTTTTGGGGTGGTGGTTGGGGGTTCCACGATGCTGATACACTATGACAAAGGGTTCCACAGGAAAAATTAATTGGGAACCCCTGCTTTAGAGGATAAAAAGTGTATTCAATTAAATGGGCGTTCTAATGATTAGAATTGATAATAGAGAGGGCCACACCCAGAGGGCCGACCACATTTAGGAGGTGTGAGAAACAGCAGCAACCAGCAGCTTCTCACAAAGCCACAGCATAGTGCTCAGTTTCTTATAATATAGCAGGCAATCTACAAGGATTAGTGTTAAATGTTGAATGAATATGTGAAGGAGCTGGTCTTTTCTGCCCACAGTGGCCAATAACTTCATAGTGCAATACATCAGGAAGCTAGTGATGGAGTAAGGAGGCAAGTATGTTTTAAGCCCCTCCTGTCCCTCAGTAATGCTTCCTCAAACATCACAACCCATGGGAGATGCACTGTTCAGTAGGGAACTTACTTGTGATGCAGAAGATGCAGATGGTAGGGGAGACAGGGAGATAGAGCTGGGAGGGTCTGATGGAGATTAAGCTGGGGGAGAAATGGAGATGGAGGAGAGAGGAAGATGACACTGGAGAGAGTGAGATGGAGCTGGGGTTGCTTCATCCTCAAAAGTTTTCTTCCTTTAATCCTTCAATTTGGTCACATTACTGTCTTCCATAAGTCACGAATATTGAATCCTACATAAGTTCTGTATTGCTACTTGATAGAAAAATTATCATATAAATCTTAGGGATAAGGATACCCTATGTGTATCATTGCTCAACAAATTTAGTTTCATTTTTTATCGCTCGTGTTTAAAGGTAGATGGGACATGTAGTTAAATAAAAACGCATGCGGTACCATTGCGGTATTGAAGTCATGCGGTATCGAAATAATGCTTGTTTTTATTGTTTATCATTCACAGTATGTTGCACTAAGTATGTAATAGTTATAACTAATATTTTAAATGTATTTTATTAAGATTATGAATATTTTACTTTCTGTATTCCTATTGGCTGGCCTCTGGTTTAGGCGCCATTTTCAAACATCTGTACCCCTATTTAAAGTCACCTTGCCAGGTAATATGTTTTATTCCATATTGATAAAGCCTTTTAGGCGAAACGCGTTTATGGTTATTTTTATTGTGTATTTTACTCATTAAAGATTTTTTTGACAATTTTTATTGTGCCAGTCATCTTTATAATACACTTTATATTTTATTTCTTACCTGGCATTTTTATTATCCTGGACTCCAGGCAATCCTTGGTGGGGATCATTCCACCTAAACTTTCAACAAGGAGCAGTCTGTCTGCTCCATCTTTGTGAGTACTATTTTATACATATTTTATTTCTATACCGTTTTTATTCAGAGAGCCCTATTGATTGTCTCTTTTTATTCTTTTTGAGTGGTCCACACACCTTTGAAGAAAAAAGGCTGCATTATATCCCATAAGCGGGGATTATACCGCTGTACATTTTCCATACTAGAGCTAGCTATAGCTCTAAAAAATGTGAGTGCATTACCATCTTCTTCTAACATTTGCTGTACCCTAGTGAACATATTACACTATTTGGTCTTTTATCTGTTTTATCTTTTCATATTATTGGATCCCCCTGGGGAAGGACAGTGAGAACATTGCTCCTGATCAAGCAAAGTACAGACTATTTGATCTAAGGAAGATCTATTTTAGCTAAAAAAAAAATTATTTGGACTACTAAACTATTTATTATCTATTGGTTAAATTTGGCACAGCTTTTATCTTTGCTCCTATACTTTGACTCTTTCTTCTGCAAAAGTAAATAACTTAAATACCCTCATAACCACACTCTCCTGCGAACCCAAACGACTATTTCACACTTTTAATGCTCTCCTTCGCATTGTTGCTTTCCCTCCTCCTACCACCCTGTCCGCCTCAAACTTTGCAACTTACTTCACTGAGAAGATTTCTACAATCAGGGAAGAGATCTATAACCTATTTCCCTCCACTTCCAATACATCACTCAACCCCACTCTGCTCTGGTCCTTCTGCCCCACCACATGTTCCCTTAATCTTATTCCCTCATATCTCATCAGCACTCTGTCTCCTTCTCTTGATCTTACTCTCGCTAAAATTTTCAATCTCTCCCTTTCCTCCGTGTCATGTGGTAACACTTCTGGGTTCGGCACTCCGCTGTGCGGAGCTGGACCCTGCCCCCCTCTGACGCGGCTCTGACGGTATTTAGGGAGACCACGCCAGAGAGACTGTTCTTGCTTTGCAACTATTCTCAGCTACTTGCTTAATATTATTATTGAAGATTATTATCATTAATCAAAGAATGTTACTTAATACATCTCTGAGGAATTACTTATTAATGAACTTTGTGTTGTTGATTACTTGCACTTCTTCTTATTGGATTATTGCCTAAATGCAATTCATTTAAGTTTAATTAAAACCTTGTTTGAATCAAGTTACCAGCGATTACCTCTTTTCTTAAAGCTACAGTATTGATACTTTAAAGTTTCTCCGTATCTTCACTCATGTAATTAGGGAGGTTTACAAGCTGCAGTTGAGTTCCAAGCCAAATCACCCAAGTAGCGTAACAGAATCACCAAGCCGTAAAATGGAACCAGCAGAAGTGAATTCCCAAATTACCTCATTAACCCACAGGGTTGAAATGATCACTCAAGGCATGCAGGATTTGCAAATTGCTAATGAAAGACTTCTTTCTTATATTAGAGAAATGCAAAATAAAGTTACTCATTCTACAAGTGACCCTGCTGTCTGCAGTCCTGAAAAGTTTTATGGAGATTGCTCTAAATATAGAGAATTTTTGAATTCATGCAAATTGTTGTTTACTCTTAAACCTAGGGCATACCCCACAGACAGGATTAAAGTTTGTTCAATAATTTCCTTCTTAAGAGGTGAACCCATGTCCTGGGCACATTCATTTCTGGAAAATGAAGACCCTATTTTGGATTCTTTGGATAATTTTATTGAAGCAATGTCACTACTTTATGAGGACCCTAATAAACAAGCTACAGCTGATCTTACTATTAGATCATTACAACAAAGAAATCGTCCTGTGCAGGATTATATTGCTGAATTTAAAAGATGGGCTTCAGAAACCCAATGGAATACTATAGCTCTACGTAATCAGTTCAGTTTAGGATTATCTGAAACAGTTAAAGATGAATTATCTAGAACCACTATTCCTCCAACGCTTGATACATTAATTCAACTCTCTATCAGTATAGTTAGAAGAATCAGAGAACGTAAAGCTGAAAAGGCTCTCTCTAATTCATTTTGGAAAAAACCCAATCCACCTTTGCGCATGCCTAATAAACCCTTGCAACCAAGTGAACCTATGGAAGTTGGGTTTATTAGGGGACCTTTGTCTATAGAAGAAAAAACAAGAAGAAGAAATTTAAATCTCTGTATGTATTTTGCTTCTAAAGAACATCTTTTACAAGAATGTCATCTACTAAAACGCGCTAAAGGAGGAAAACGTAAAAGTAATACCTCAATTCTGAAAACACTTCCCTGTTCCTGCTCTCATCAGTTTGCTGTACCTCTAATTCTACAGTGGGACATGAAAGAATCAAGACTGAAGCTATTATTGATTCTGGAGCTACAGGGATATTCATAGATGCTTCGTTTGTTGAAACCAATAAACTTCCTTTTATGAAAAAAAGCATCTTTTATCTCCATCAGAGTTATTCATGGATCATTAATCCCCTCTGGTTCTATAAAAAATGAAACTATTCCTATAAGGACAATTGTCAATAATAACCATTCAGAATTTCTTGTTTTTGATATTATAAAATCCCCTCTTTTTTCAATCATTTTAGGAATCAACTGGTTACAAACTCATAACCCCTTCATTCATTGGTCTCCCTTCTCTCTCACCTTTGACTCAGAATATTGTAAGGATAATTGTTTCCCACAGATTCCTATACTTCAATTAAGTCAAGAAAAATTAAGACCTGGATCTCGTAACAAAACAGCTGATGCTCTTTCCATTTAATCCAGCTTCAGAAAAGAAAACCTTTTCAAAATTATCAAACAATAAAGTTACTGGATTTACAACAACTATATTGGATGAACTGAAACAATTATCTCACAATGAACTTGAGCTTCCTTCTACTCCTAAATTGTTCAAAAAAGATGGAATCTTTTATTTCAAAAATACAATTTACATTCCTCCAAAACTCGAAAACAACCTCTTAAAATTAATTCATGATTCTCCCCTTGCAGGACATCCCGGAATAAAAAAAGACACTTGAACTCTCTACTAGACAATATTGGTGGCCTCGTCAAGACAAAGCCATTGAATCCTATGTAAAGTCTTGTCCAGTTTGTCAAAGGTCCAAAGCGGAACGTCACCTTCCTTATGGATTACTGACTGGATTACCAGTACCTGAAAAACCTTGGCAGTCTATTTCCATGGATTTTATGGTGGAACTCCCTCCTTCTCAGAAATACACCACCATCCTTGTTGTCGTAGACCGTTTCACAAAAATGTCACATTTCATTCCTTTGAAAAAGTTACCTTCATCCTCTGAACTTTCCAAAGTTTTCATTGACAATATAATCAAATTACTTGGATTTCCTGAAGAAATAATCTCAGACAGAGGTTCTCAATTTACTTCACGTTTTTGGAAGGAAATGTGTTCTTCACTTCAAATCCAACATAAACTTTCTTCAGCATACCATCCGCAAACAAATGGCCAAACAGAACGAGTCAATCAATGTCTGGAACAATAGCTTT